AGAGAACAAATGTTATTGCTTCATGAAGCATGTATAGGTAGTCAGTAGCACTTCAAAAGATAACTTTCTGCTGTCTTGATTTCACTATTCACTCAGTATTGCCAGGAGCACATGGAAATCTTTATAGCTCCCGGACATTTGATAAGATCTTTCAATAGTACCCCGTAGACACTCCCTTAAATGAATGAAGAGAGCACAGATAAAAGACTGAGTGTGAACAGTCTTTATATTTCGAGTAACAACATAAGCATCTGTGAAGATCAGTAGAGTTGTATCTGGGGCACGTATCAACTGGTATAAGGTCTGAATTTATCTGAGCAACACAGATGATGTTTTGGTTCCTTAACTGGAAAAGTTAAAAGAAGCAAAGCAATGTAGAAGAGCTGATGTGCCAGATCACCTAAGAAAAGTATTTTAAGAGCTAAGTTGCTTGCAGACTAATTTACTCTCTATATCCTTGTAATTAACTGCTCCTTTCTGAGGTGAGGCGATTTTATTCTTTTATTGCAAAAGTTTGACAAAAGACAGATTGCTTTAACAAATTCTGCTCCATTTCTGTCCTGAAAACTAAGCTACTATGTGTCCTACCTGCAACAAAAGACATAATGTTACTTGCCTGCTGTACAGACGTAGCGCATTTATCTGCACCCTCATATGGTATCCCTTTTTCAAAACAGACATTAGGGTGTAGCTTGAGAAGATATGATTAAAAAAAAAAAAAAGTCCCTAATGGAATTGCAAGAGGTTTCTATGACTTTCCAGAACCTGAGCTGTTCCAGTGAATGCTGTTTCAATCCTGAGAGGGGAACAGAAAAGGTTACAGAAGGGTCGTGTACATAGGAAAGTTACAACACTAGCAGATAGAGCTGGATGGGGCAGTGCCAATAGTAAAGTTCAGATAATTTGAAGGGCAGTAATGTCAGGCTGTTGAGGACACCAAACAAACAAATGTTCTTCTTTCATTAGATGATGGATATCAACAGAGCCACTCTAATGATGCTGCCTGTGCTTTGTGCTGCATCTAGTATCTTGGGATTTTCCCAGGAAACCATTTTAAAACCTAAGTATAAAGAGATGGAGAGACAGAGAGGTGGAAACAGAAGAAAAAAAACAGGTGGAATTCAGAAATTACCTTCTTTTCATTTACTAAAGGCAGTGTATAGAATTTTACTGCACTCAGTATTCAGTGGGACTTCCCAGTTAAAAATGTAATAAACAAAAGTTTTTTGTCAATTTTTCGAGCTATCTTCCCAAGTTACACATTATTCTGTGCACAAGGGAATTTCTCTAGTAATTACTCCTGAGTACCCACAGGAATAAATGTTAATTACACCACCTAAACACAAAAATAGATCCTTGTGCCATCAGTTCCACAACTGACAAGAAGCCTTACTCGAAATTTCTAGGTTGTGTGTGGTGTGTGTGTGGTTTTTTTTTTTTGTTTTTTTTTTTTTTTTAGTTTTCATATTCCTCTTGCACTGCAATATTGAGGGTGCACAGAGAGCTGTAGGGACTTTCTTACTTTGAAGTTTATATGAGCTACCTGTCTCATAACAAGTATAATAAGCGCTTGCTGTATCCTGGAGTATACTTTCCTCAGCTGAAGAGTAGAGGCAGCAGATGTTGTGTGAAATGAAATCCTCCATGACTACGGTGTTGCTCTGAGGGACATAATATCCACTCATCCCCAAGAGAATAAATCAGTCAAGCAAAATGGAATACTGCTGTGATTTCTGATCAGTATAAATGGACATCGTAACACTGCTAATACACCATGCCACCAAACAGGCTAAGAACCAGGTGCAAAATTGGCAGAAGAATCTTGAACCTATGTTGTGATTGTCTGAAAAATCACAAAGATTATCAAGGAGAAATACTGCCTCTACTAGATAAAGGTCCACCTTCTCCACTAGGCAATATTGCCAAGCTAGAGAAGAATGAAAATTTTGAAAAACATAAAAAGCAAACTGATATCTTGGTGACCTATATGTAATTTGTACCATTGTCCTAGAAGATCTGGTTAATATCTGGTCACAGCATTCTTTGTACTTTTGTACTAAATTTGCAATTGTTTTCATTAAAATAGTTTGTTTCATTAGACTGACTTGCTGAATTAAAGATTCTAAATGTATTTGTCATACCTTGGAACAAGGCGCCAAATAGAAATCCTGTGTCTGTGATTCAGTTCCTGAATATACTCAAGAATTAAGATATTCCTGCTTCTGCATCATAAATAATCTAACAGAATCAAATACAGTCTGGCATAGATGACATATGATATTTGGAAATGCAACATGAAACCTAAATATTATGAAACTAAAGTTTCCGCTCAGCCTACTTCATTCACAGTAAATATATTTATTGTTTTGCACCATGGGGTGGAATTTTCACATTCCTGATAGCTTTAGATTAGAAGCTTTCCAAAAAGATGTAATGCTAGTTATAGCAAAGGGCTGATATGTGGTCAGGAACAGGATGCTTCATGGCTCATACTCAGAGGATAGCAAAGTAAGCAGTACCACTCTAATGACCAGCTAGCCTGTGCTCTGAGCATCCTTGGAGAACACCATGTGTCCAGAAATGCTTTGCACGGAAGGTCCGTGATTCCTCACAGCACATGTAGTGCCAGACTTGCAAGACTCTGTGAAGGCTGGGTATGCAATCAATGGTAGAAGTTGCTGGGCAAGGCTGAGGACATGGACCACCCCTGTGAAAACACAGTTCTCCCTCTGCCCCAGTATATGCCTGGCAAGGTGTGTTGAGAATTACAGTTGTGGGTTCTATGTTTATGCAGCTGAATATCTCCTATATGTTCCATTTGATGATCTGGATTAATTTTAAAATGTGTCTGCAGTTTTATCCCATTCATCAAGTGCCTGCACGAGTGCTTCTGCCTGCACCCTCAGGTGAGGAAATGAGAGACTGTGGGCTCTGCAGAAGCAAAGGCAGAGGGTCATCTATCTCAGCAGCAGCTTGTGCTATGTTAAAGTTATTTTAAAAGTACTGCAAAGTCACAATTGTCATCAATACGTCTGAATGGATAACCTTTATCCTGCCACCTTGTATTTATAATGAAGCAGGTTTTAGCCATTTTTCAGCAATGGTAATAGTACTTTTTATATATCTAGCTAAAAATGTGTAATAAATCACAATAATCTCCCTGGTTTCTGAAACTTATACGTCTTCATGATTATATAGTAATGTTGTGAGAACCTCTGTCTTACAAGAAGCAAATGTTCCCTGTGAAAATATCTGGCTTTAATTCCTTTACCCATAGTTATTGCGCCTACTGAATTAAGTACTACTCACAGCATGGCACAGCTATCTATGAAATAAATTAAATGCATCATGCATAGTCAGCAGAAGTTCAGCACTGCAATTTAAAGAAAGTGGCTTTATGCTATCCTTACCTAAGTTATGCTTTGTGCTGCAGTACTTCTCCTTTGCTTCCTAACTACTGTAGAAATACAGGTGTTCTTCCAGTTGTGTCTAAGTATCTCATGTTAACAAAATGCAACAGATAGAAAAACAGGATTTTTTTTAAATGTAATTTCAATCTTTAGTAATTCAGGAACAGTAATAAATAACATCAATAACCTAAGTAGGTAGTGAATTCTGGAAGTATATCTGAATGATAGAAGTGCTGGGGGTTTCGTTCCACTTAAATAAAAACCATGTTGTGTGAAACAAATATAAATTGATTATTCACTGTTTAGCTTAACTAAAACACTGCAGGAATGACTCAGCTTTTCAATATATGCTGAAATGTTAGCTGCGCAAGAAGTTGAAATGAGCACCAAACCTAAGTTATGTAGCATGGGTTCAAGTTCTAAGGCTTAGTGTTTTTTTGCTACAAGCCATGTAGATGCAAACCCTCACAGCTGCTGTTTGAATGCATGTAGAAGGAGTACAGATGTACTGCTGTATGATATACCCCAGTGCCAAATTAACTTGAGCCCACCTTTCCTCAACACTCCTGGCTGCTGCAGAATGCCCATGGGTAGGAGCGGAGCATATGCTGCTGACACCATGTCCTCTCCTAACCATATTTGCTTAAAACTGAGCTGCTTCCTACAGAAAAAAATGTTTTGTTTTGTTTTTTTCAAAGACAGAAGTACTACATTTATTCTAATTTGCATTTGCTTGTAGTAACTGTTACTCTAGGAAAGCAGCAGTTGTTGTAGAAAGATGTGAACCATTTAGAACGACACTGGCATCTAAACTTTCCAAAGTAACATAACCTGGCAATGGATATTCTAGCTTAGTGATGCATGGAATACTACTTCCAGCTGTATAGTGCAGGTCACTGGAAAGAAAATTACCTTGGCCTAATAAAATCTGGGAAAGACCAGCAATGAGCAAAAGCAAATCTTCTGACACCAGAAATAGTGCCAAAGCTGGCAGAGTATATTGGAAATACATATTTATTTTTCCTTTTATTTACAGAAAATAATTCTCAAGTAGCAAACCTCTCAGACATGTTGTAATCTTGGCTCATTATAAACAGTCATTACTGTCCATGTCAATTTTGTTGGTCTGACATAGACCAGTGAAGCCCATACTGACTTTAATTAATTAATTTTAAAAAAATCACTTTCTAACTCACGTTTAAAGTGAATAACCCATCTTGCCAAAACTTTAGTACTATGGAAAAAGCTCTGATATTCATATTGTAATGAACAGCTCAGACTCTAGCAAGTGCTACCCAAGCTGTATAACTTGGTGTTCAGCGGAGTGTAGCAGTTCTTTTAGTCCATCTGAAGTGATAAGAACAGATGTGATTGAAAGGCACAGTAGCATAAGCTTATCACTGAAATGTGGTCTTCTGGAAACTGCTTTTCTGACAGAACTATGACCTGGATATCAGAGTTGATGCTCACATGCTTCTGTTACCACAAGCTGTGAGAATTAATAAAATTAGAGGATATTATAGAAATGTGAATGTACTTTATGATGGTCTGTAGTAATTCTGTACATCTCTTATGTCTGTGTTCTTATAGCCGCTTGGGCACTGAAGTAGCTGAAATGAGAAAGAGGCAGCAGTCACAAAATGAAGGAACATCAGCTGTGTCTCAAGCACCTGGAAACCAAAGGCCCAACAACACATGTTGCTTTTGTTGGTGCTGTTGCTGCAGCTGTTCATGGTATGTCCTGTAGTATATTTGGTTCCATATCCACAACAGGTAAACAATGAGGATGGCAAGTGCCAAGAACTGGGAGCATGGAAACTTTTGGGAGAGGATTGCTGCCAAGAGGCACAATTCAACATTTTACACAAACACACACAAAAAAAAACACATTAAATCATTCCCTAATTTGGCTGGACATCTTGTGAGGGGGAAGAGGAGAGAATACTAAATTCAAGCTGTATTTACCCTATGTAAATCATTCTAAATGATAAAAAATCCATTAAAAAGCTAATATATGTGAGACTTCATACTGAATATTTTATATTTTGCATTCAAAATATGCAAGTTTTTTTTTTTTCTATCTTTATTTTCTGCTATTCCTTTTTTATATTGTAGTTCTCTGCATTCAGGAGGGAAAAAGGGAGGCCTGCATTACCAGTTAGTTGTTAAATAATTTATAATTTGGAAATTTGGAATCACAGGATTTAAATTCTACTTCTACCAGTGACTGGTATGTCAAAATTTTAGTGGAAAAAAAGGCTCAGGAATTATGTTTGCTTGTCTATTGCTGAACAAAGAATTGGCTTGGAAAGTCAAAGAATTAAACACAGTTTAAGAAATAGCCTTAAATTCTCAGTATCTTGAGAGACATCAAGTCTTTACTTCTTACTGTTGTGAACATTTAATGTTGACAGATAAATTAATTCACTTGCACTGCTGCTCAGGGCCTGTGCATCCTATTACCTATGCAATTCAGTCTCTTTGGAGTGACCATTCCTCTGTGTATCTGTATTATTTTCACTTGAAACAGCCCTCTTCCTCTAATATAAAATCAGAGCCTATTTGCTCCCAGTACATTTACATTTACAACATGTGCAAGTAGATATTTGGAACAAAGATGAGCAAATACTCATGCTTTCATCAAGATATTTTGTTGTGTGTTAATTCCATACAGCAAAAAGGTAGAAGTGCTTTAATGGAAAGAAAAGGAAGAATGTTTTGCTTCTGTTGTTTTCTGCTTTGTGTTAAGTTTAGCTGTACTGTTACAGACCAAAAGTCCGTTGAGCTCAGCATCTTACCTCAAGAAGTGACCCAAGGAGGCTAGATGGGAAGGGTAAAAGAAGTGAACATCCACCTCCTTGTCCTTATCCCAGCAAAGCTCACAACTTCTGGGAATCAACAACTTAACGACTTCGTAACCCAGAAGTTTTATAGCCCTTGATGAATTATCCTTCATTAATTTTTTCTAACTATGTTCTGAAGTGACTTCCTGAACTCGCCTAAAATTTTGGCATTTCAGGTTTTCCTTACCAATATATTCTACTTTTGACCTGTGCTCTGTATCATCAGTTAATTCCTTTTTTTTTTTTTTTTCTACTATGAGAATCTACTATGAGATAATTTCATTTGATTCTTCTTTGCTATGATTCTGAGGAACAGGAAATAATTTTATTCCTAATGATCATTTTTTAAAATGTTCTGTTGTATCCCCTTTCATCTATCTTTTCTTCCATAGTCTTATCTATAATCTGTGGTACAGAAATTGACCCAGTTCTTTATACTTATCTATTTGCTGTCTATCCACCTACCTCATGTCTTTCTGTGTACATTTCCTGTTCTACTGTCTCCCATTTGACGTGTGACCAGAATTTTTGCAGTAGTGTAGATATGAGTACAAAAAATGCTTTTCCTGTAACACAGCAATTTTTTGTTTGCTCTAGTTTTTTTATTATTCCTAACATCTTGTTTGCTTTTTAAACATCCCTAAAATTACACTTTCATAGAATCATCCATCATAACTGCAAAATCCCTTTATTGAATAGAAATAGAATTCAACCTTGTGCATGTATAGCTAGGGTTGGATTTTGCCTTACATACTGGAACACGAAAGATCGTAAAAGTATGTCTAATTTCTAAAATTTATAAACATTTGGTTATATTTTTTAAGCATGCTACAACTCAAGAACCCTTATTTGACAAATATACTGTTTTGAAGCTTTCATGAGTTCTGTTACCCTTGAACTGCCTCTGCTACTGGGAATGCAATACCATTAAATATTTGAATGGATTATGCATACTAACCCTAAGAGCGTTTATTGCTTTAAAATATAGGATGTCCTTTCAGCTGCTTTGGTAACTGTTTCTGCTGTTGATATCTTGTCTTTCAGGAGTTCAGGGGGAGTTGAGTGCTAGTTTGCTGTTGGGTTGGTTGGTTTGGTTTTGATAACATACATTAGTTTGAAAATGCAGAAATCCTGTCAATTTAAACTAATTTTCTGGATTAAGTCAAAACAATTAGTCAAATTGGATAATGACATTGCTTTTATTTTCTAAAATCAAAAAGATAAAATAGATAATGTCTTTCCCAATTCTGTCTACTATGATTCTATAGAGTAAACCCCAGAAGAGGGGAGATTGGACAAAACTTTGAAAAAGGCAATATGAAGTGTTTCAGAATCAGAGTTAAAGCAAATTGGTTCTAGTTCCAAATTTGTTTGGTAAATGTGAACAATCCAGGTGGTGTACAGATTACTGTTCTTTCTCCATCAACTTGCCTTAATAAAATAGAAAAAAATACAAAACAAACTTTGCTAGTCATTCATTATACAGGTGATTCTCGGTAGGTAATTCACCACAGTCACAATATAAGAAGTTTAATCAGTCATTGTAACAGCTTCTCTGGACCTATTGTAATTACTTGCTTTCTCTAGTTCCACAAGTATTTTGAGTAACCCGAATTTCTCTGGATACCAGTTTGGAAGTGTAGCTGAGTTCATTAATGGTGATGATAACGCCCTTGCTGTCAATATCAAGATAAGAAGGCTTTTCTTCTGTTTTTCCTTCAGCGTCTTTGACTGTGGACAACTCTTATATCAATATTCTTCAGTGCTTCAACTTCCTCACTATTCACAGAAAGGGAGGCGGTTTATAGCAAGAATCATTCACTTATATCTATTTGAAAAGTTAGTCCAACAGTTTGTATCTCCATACAAATCACTGCAATTCTAAAAGTGTCTTCTGTAAATCATGTGATGTTTGTTTCCTTTTTTTCCCTACCCTGTGTTAAAATCAGAATAGACATTAAGTCTTCTGTTTGCATAACAGTATAGGCAAATGTTGGCACCTTTGTTTGAGGAAATAATACCTTGCCTAATAGAGCAAGCAACTTTCAGCACATCTTTTTATAAACAGTTTCCTCTCATAATTCCTTCTTAAAGGTAACAAGCAATTGGAGCACATTACCATTATTGTTTGTTAGCCCCACAGGCAACTGAAACTTGCCCTTCCTTCCCTCCCTCCAAGTGGGTTGGGAAGAGAATTGGAAAGGTGAAAGGGATAAAATTTGTGGGTTAATTGCAGTTTAATAAGTAAAGCAAAGCTGCTTACACAAGCAAAGTAGAACAAGGAATTCATTCACTCCTTCCCATGGACAGGCAGATGCTCAGTCATTTCCAGAAAAGCAGGGCTCATCATGCATAACACCAGAAAGATGAACATCTCCCTTCTTCCTTCTTTCCCCCAGTTTCATTGCTATATGACATCATATGTAATGCGATACCATTTTGGTCATTTGGGGTCAGCTGTCATGGCTGAATCTCCTCCCAGCTTATTGTGCACCCACGGCTTACTTGCTGGTGTGACAGTTCAAGAAACAGAGAAGACCTTGACCTTGCTAGTGTAAGCACTGTTCAACAACAACTAAAATTTTGGTGTGTTTTCAACACTGTTCTGTCCACAAATCCTGAACACAGCAACATACCAGCTACTTTGAAGATAACCAGCTCCATCTTAGATAGACCTAGTAAATCCATTGTCACAGATAATTGTCAGTAGAATAAGTTGCTCCATTTACAGAGCAGGTCTGATCATTAAGGTTTGCTTACATTGGCCAGATGGAGATAAGCAGACTCTTTAAGATGGCATTTAATTGTTATAGGCATGGTCGGAATGTTGCTCAACTAGATTGAGCTTTGAGCTGGTACCTTCGTGTCAGTAGCTAAGGTACATCCTTAATGGAGATGGTACAGTGTTTATGAAGTCATCAACAAGAAAAGGTTATCCAATCAATTGAGGCAATCAGTTCCCTCTGGAGGTCCTCCTGTAACGCATTTCTCTCTGTTGATCAGATGTAGACTTTAGGTGTTTGCTTCAGAAAGGCTGCCTCATTAAAGCATCGAGAATTTTAGTACAAATCTCACCCTGTGTCTTAAACCCTACAAAACACCATTCCCATAAAGAAGAAAAGATTTCTTCACTAGGCATAATTGATTTAGGTAGTTTAAGAGTGGCAAAATTTGCCATAGCTCTCCTAGAAGGACTGTATAATTTCCTCAACTGCACTGTCTCCAGAGAGCTAAACTATTAGTATTTAGTGCTATGGATTTGGTATTTAGTGCTATGGACTGCTTTGAGCTCGGCCCAGTGAAGGGTGGAAGCCCATTATTTCACCCTCTTTAGTGATTTGCCAGTTCTCAGAAACTCAAGGCACTAAAATGGGGACATTGTGTATTTTTATTTTGCTCCCTCTTTTGTTTCTCACCTAGTCAAGGAAATACAGCTGTTTGTCCTCTTCATTTCATAAGGTGCTCAATGAATTTCAAAGCTTTGAAACACTCTCATGCCTGGTAATCTCTCTCTTCTTTCACCACACACAGGAAGGTTCAGGAGATGTCCAGCATCTGCCCTGCAAGAGACTTTTTCAATGCAGGAGCCTGGGAACATCAAAAAGCTTTCTTGGAATAAGTGAAGCTTATCACACAACCATACCTGGTTCTGTAGCTTATTTCAAAGGTCTGAGCTGCAAAGTCTTTTCCTTAAAAGGAGCCATTAAAGCAGTTGCTGAGGGCTCTTGTGGAAGAGGTGCTCATATGCCTAACAGTCTCTGAGTTGTGCCCGCAGAAAAGTTATGGCTGCCATTTGACTTCTTGTGACCCTTTTGTAACTGGTTTCCCACACACAAGAGATCTCAAGGAAGATAGGGTATTTGCCAGCTTGGAAGAAAACAGGAGTTACTG